AATAAGAAAATATGTTTAAACATTATGAGCTCGACCGCTTTCTGTTTTTCTTTTGCAATTCAATGCACTTACCTCTGCGAATTCCGGCTTGTAAATCATTACCAAGGGATAAGTAGGCCCCAGCCACAGACACATGATTCCCTCCCGATATATATGATACATCCAATGATTTACTTTCGCGAAGACAACTGTTGTTAAATTAAAAAAAATGCATGAGTCTCTGTCAACCAGAGGTACCATCCTAATGTTTGGCTTGACAAATTCGGAGGGTAAGGTCGCCAATGAACACTGGTCTCTACTGAGTGAATTAAGAGAACCGCAAGACACCTCCTATCCAGGGTATCCGCCGAGGATCGATCTTGTAGTGTCCTTGAGGCAGGAAAAGCAAAGAACACACACATCGGCGAATTGTCAAGTTTGGCTGATTGCTGTTATCGTTATCATTATCATCGCTAATGCCATCGGTATCGTTCCCGTCGTCCTCAACGTTATCCCTATCGCCATGGCTATCGTAATCGTTCATTATTACTATTGTTTTTATACTAATTATCATCACCATTTTCCGGATATGAAAGTATACCACTAACCCCCCTCTCCCCCCCCAAAAAAAAGCTAACGCAGATGGCATCCCCTAACCCTAATCGGATCCCTAGTCCCCAACCCCTTTTTTAACCTCTTCGACTAAGAAAAGGGCTGCAAGGGGCGTGTGTTATGCTTCTTAAAATCCTGATCCGTTACTTTGCTTCAGACACCAACCGCGACGTAGGTTTTTCGTTAATTAAACTGAGTAAAACTTTGTGATGAAACGAGAAAGCTCTTTCACGGTTAAGCACGCCAGTGTACATGACCATCACACGGAAAGGGCTATTCCAACATCTAACCTTCCCAATTATTTTTTTTGCGCCATTCTATTGGCTATTTTAAAATCACTGGACACGCATGTAGTTGCGTGATACAATCGACATACCAGTGTGTGACTCACGTTACAGTCTACTTTTACTGAAAAGGATGCTGTAATCGATGCTGTTTCCTTTCTTTCCCTGTTACAGGATAGGAAAACCTTAAGATTTTGCAATTTGGGTTGGAGAAATAGCAACAACAAATAAAATAAGAAACTTTTCTGGTATCATGTCGTGCAGAATATCAGAAATAGCTTTGTAATGCAAATGAACAGAAATTTTCTTGATAATGGACCACATCGACGAATTTCATGCTCTTAGTTATTTACTCATGCACAAAAAATAAGCAGAGTGGCTGCTTTCCTAATCATGACATATTTGGCAAATATGTGAACTTAACCTAAAAAAAACCCTCAAAAACACATCACACTCATCATCTACATAAATCTTGCCATGATTCGCAAAGAATAATTCACCCGAACTGGCAATATTATTGTCAGTCATTCGAAGTCAGTGACCTTGTTACATGTATTTTTGTCGCGTTTATCTATATTTGTCTACCTTATTTCAGTCACACTGCAGTAACATTTTTGTTTTGTTTGGTTTTGTATTTCTTTCGGTGTTTCAGTCTTGCCTTAGAACTAATTTTCTGCATGATGGATAAGGAACTTGACACGAGTGAGTTCAAACACTGAATCACCTTCTATCGACAACACTGATTATTATTATACTGGGAAGTTTATTCCCAATTCAGATAAATACGTCGATTTTAGCTGTGCTTAGCACAAATATCCACCTTCCCCCTTTTGGTCTTGTTTCGTCGTATTTGTCGCGGTTTCATCAAGTTTTTGACAATACAGGTGGATCAGTCTATTCGGTGTTTTGATCTCCACGGTTCGACTTCATTCGCATGGACCTAATATGCGTCTCCTTCTTGGTGATTAAGTGTTGAAATAGATCGCAGTGGTTGAGGAGTTGAGAATTTCATCTGTTTGGTTACAAACCCCTCTAGTAGAGCGTGTGGACCCACATATTCGATCATGGTTCGTGTTACCCTTTGAACACCGACAACAGCTCGTTATACGGCAGGTGGAGGAGTCAACCCGCTAACCAATTACAGCGCGGGTCATGTGAACATAACAATCTACCTTGAATAACCTAGGTGAATTTCGAAGATGATTTTGTTCATTTTCTATCGCAGATGTAAGGAATAGATGTATTCCACTTCAACCTAAAATAGTTACTTTTTAGGAAAGGAAAACCCGACGGACGCGGGCGCAAACTAAAAGGATATGTTTTTAATCATGCATCTAAGCCACAGCTAAACCGAGGTCTTAAACTAAACTTACCGTGTGGTTCACCTGTCAATTGCAAAGTGTTTCCAAATAAAATACTTGGCTTCGGGCCTGGCAACTTTCTCAAGTCAGCCACAGATCGATATTTAGCGACGAAGGCAAGAATTGCAAACGTGATGAACAATAGTAAGAGTGTCAGTACAGCTACCGCGATGAGGCCTGCCATCTTTGATCATGACGTCAATTGTGTGGTCGATTAAGCTGCAATAGCATCCTAATCAAACATCCGAAGGATTGTTCATGCTTCATAGATCGCAGCTTCGTCGGCTTTGTTTACAAAACCTTGTTATTTGCATTCGAGAAAAGCTTTCACTCCTCCTCTCACATTATTCTTCCTTTAGTTTACTAGAGAATTTTCAACGCAGAATTATTGGAAAGTAAAAGTGAGGGAGAAAACTAAATGCGAATGAGTTGGTTCTCGTGACTTGTATATTCCTAATAAAGCACCCTGAACCCTTGTCTTACAATGAGTCACATCAGCAAAGTTCATAGTTCCCAGGGAATCCTTGTAATTACAAAGAGAAAATGGCGTATGCTCAAAAATGTGTCTTCGCTTTCTATGAATTTTTTCTTTTGTTTTCAATTTTTTCATTTATCGATCCGTTTACTTATTTGATTTTCTCTGAACTTTTGTATGCAATCGTCTTTAACAAAAGACACAGAACTTTACCCCATAATAGAATAGGTATCTTGGTCAATTAATGTTTAGAGAAGTGCAGTTAGTATTTTCAATTATTTTGTAGTAAAGCGTGGGTCATTAGATTAAGGTAATTTTCGCCAAACGTGTAGATGTGGGTTATAAGCCAGAGAGTGATGGAATGGTTGCCGTATCATGAAGGAAGGGTGCAGAAATCTCCTAAGCAGCAAGGACGTCACCACGGTAACCGAGCAACAACCCACTAATGCAGCACCGATTTGAAAGATTTACTTACCATGTTAGAGTGCCGAACGGGAGGTCGATAGTTTTTAAGTCCCGGACCGGACCAAACACACAGGTTTTTAAAAGAATCCTTCATGATTAAATTTCTTACTTATATTGTAATTACTTTTCATCGGATTTTCATTGGCACAGCCAACTGTTGGGTTAGAACCATTTACCCCCCAGCAGAACCCAAGCGATTCTTGAATGGAGTACCAACGTAGCTCCCGTTATGCCTGGCCTTCTTGTTGTTTATACAGGCCCTCGTTTAAACCAGAAAACTGGAGAGGAAGAAGCAATGAAGACTAAATTAAACTTGTCGTAGTGCAAACACATCTTTACTCGAATCTCTTATTGCTGCGAATCTCGTTAATGCGAAGATCGCTTTCATATTCATTTCTTAAACCGCAGTTCACATAGATGATTTTCAAATATTCGCGATCATTTATTCATCACTTCACGAGTTTAATACGAATCAACATAATAACCAGCTCCTAGTTGGCTTGTTAGCTCGGTTGATATGG